TGTGGTAATATATGAGTCGTCACCAACTCCTTAATGGCTGTCATCCGGGCAATGAGAGGGGCCATAATGTCCACCAAATACTAAGGATCCTGCTGCGGCTCGGGTGGAGTCTGCTGAGGCTCAGATTGAGCTGGCTGCTGCTCAGATGGAGTCTGCTGTGACTCTGCCTGCCCAGCTCTCCGAGTACGAGGCCTACCACGTCCTGCCATCTCTCTGATCATAAGAAAATAAGAGTTTATGAGTCAAAGTAGACTTCTATTTGCACAACATATAGTATTTGCACAACATATAGTATTTGCATAAGAAAATAAATAGCGTATCACAACATAAATTTTCACAACATATAGTATTTGCACAAATACTTTGAACTTATACGAAAATAGTTGTCATAAAAAAATTTCTCAAATTTTGAGATATACGCATATATCGTGCTCACTCATACTAGGAACTCCTTACGGACTCTATACATGAATCCTAAGAAAACTCTATCCTAGCTCCACGACTCGACACAGGATGATCCTAAGGATACTGAAACTAGAGCTCTGATACCAACTGTGACGCCCCTGCGTTCACACAAGGCTGCAGTCTAAGGTGAAACCAAGAATGTCAAACCTGTCATGCACCACACTGTGCAATAACATGTTTCACCATCACAATTAACATCTATCTAGTAGAGTCAACAATAGGTGTAGGTACAAAAGCAAGTAAAAGATAGTGCAAGAAGTAACTGATGAAATGATAGTGATCACATTAATATCTCATCATCCAACATACAGAAATACATAGTCAATGTCTGAATAGATAACTGGAATACTCAACAAGTCTCAAATACAAATGTCTGACGAGAGGAAATAAGGCACACCGCCTTTACAACTTCTAGAATAAGACTCTCAAATACCTAAACAAAAGTCTACTGTGGATCTCCAAAAGAAAATATATCTAAGTAAACAGCTGAAGCTAAAATGCCTCGCCATCAACCTGCGGCTCTTCGGACTCCTGGCTCGTTACCTAAAAGGGGGATGGACAACGAGCGTCAAAGCGCTAGCGAGCAACATCACAACCAACCCCAAGGGAACATGGCTCGTTGTATAAGAAAATACAGTTAATACATAATAGATCTAAAATCATTGATCTTACTAAAGAGGATTTTAATATTTAGAAATTTACAACACGAGCATAGGTACGTCGAGCGAAATAATCCAAACAAGGAAACCCTCATGTATATACCTTGTATCTCAAATTATAAATCCCGAAACAATAATAAAAGAACTGCAACTAATCTCAGAGCATAAATACAGTGCCATGTCATGGCTTACATGAACATCAGGTTATTACTTACATGTATGCCATATTATAATCTACATAAGTGTCATGTCATATACTCCTGTGAGAAAGTCATATACAGGGTTAAGAAGTATGTCCGATACAGGAACTAGATACTGTGGTTTCCAAACACATGGAATAAGTGGCAAATGTCCAACACGAGGACTGAAATGGATTATAGTCCAACACGAGGACTTCTATGGATTATAGTCCAACATGAGGACTGTGTAACTGTGAAAAGTATATGCGGACAGATATACATAATCTAAACTCACCCGCATCTCGGTGTACATGTCTAAACTTGTGTCAAAAGTCATCCCACATGTACAAATAAATTATTAACATGGTATACTAGGGTCATGTTATCGAGGCGACCCCAAAAAGCAACTCAAACAGATCAACAATCTGTAAAACAGCTCATCAGTCGACTGATGTGTCGACTGATGAGGTCAGTCGACTCATATGTCGACCGATAAGGCTCTGGCAGCACAGCCTCAGCTCACCAGTCGACTGACCAGTCGACTGAGAAGCTGAGAAAACAAAATCAGCCCGTCAGTCGACTGATCAGTCGACTGATGACTAAAAAATCTGCCCGTCGGTCGATTGATCAGTCGACCGATAGACTGCAGAAACTCTGCACAGGTTGATATTTACCCAAAATTCGATCTAAACTCATCCCCATCAATCCCAAGCATGAAAAATACATGATATCAACATATATACACCAAACTAGAATGAAAGATCCACATATAAACATTTATCAAAAACCTTAAACACATAAAAACATGTTTGATACGTTTTGAAATCAATAAATCATGAAATAACTCTTGTTAAACGTTTTTTTCAGATCTAGATCTCTTTAATAAAACATTGATGATCTTTTTATAAACTGAGAAGCTCAATACTTCACATCATATACCATAAAGATTCATTCTTTGTACTAAAAATACGTTTTTGACTCAAAAAAACTCATTAAATTCAATAAATTCGTGCAAAAACAAAAGGGACAGAGTTGGGCGAGATGTTACTCGCCTCTGGGTGATGAACAACTCCTGGATCTGAGAGAGTGTGGATCCCCTTTGCTGCAATGTGCTAATTTCGCCGAAAATCCTCCAAGTTCTTTCTCAAATCACCAAGAACAAAACTAGGGTTTGAGATAGGGGAGAGGGGGCTAGGGTTTTCTCAGGTCTGAAGGTGAGAGGGGTGATTTCGGGTGAGAGGGGATATATACGAGCAGTTAAACCCGACCCAAACCCGAACCAAATCAAAACAGACCCGAAACCTGAAAAACTAAATCAGCGTATCAGTCGACTGATGTGTCGACCGATACAGTAAGTCGACTGATGTGTCGACTGATCTGGAAAAAATTCAGTTTTTTTTACATGTTTTGCTTATTTGCAAAACCATCGCACAAAATTCTACACCCATACTCTCATATCATCTCAAATAACTTGTTATCATGTACATTAATGACCTCAAGCTATTTATCATGAAAGAAATAATTATTTACTAATAATTCGCATATATTCATATAAAAATTACGGGGTTCTACAGGACCAACCGCTACGCTTCTCCCTACAGGCAGTACTGTAACAGCCAATGAAACTGGATATCTTTTTGTTGATGTCTTTGAAATGACTCTGGCACTTAGCCGCGGTCCTCGCTTTTCCACTTTTGGCGTTCTCATTCACGTACTGTGTAATTTTACCCCAGAAAGTTTCACCCTTTTGGTTGTTCCCCAACTCACTATCATTACTAACGTGAAAATAACCAGTTAGTAAAAGTATGTTGTCTTCGGTGCTCCAACTATCGTAACTTGATCTCTTTGCTGATTGTTGGGTTGGAGGCAGAAAACTATGGGGAGTATCCCCACCAACATTTCCCAAAGACATTTGGGTGGGCAAGTCTTCCATATCTGTAGATCCGCTGCTAAACCGGGGTGTCACTGGCTCACTCGACTCCGTGTTAGGACAATTCATATGGGATGGAACATAGCTGCTTCCCGGAACTGGAGGATAACCGTAAGGAAGATAAGGGTGTTGCATGCCGAAATTCGGTTGCATCATATACGGCATTTGAAAATTGGGCTGCATACCCGTATTTTGAGTATTTTTGGGGCGTTGCATATTTGGATTTTGAGGTTGAGGTTGGGTATTTTGAGGTTGGTTAGGAAAGTTGTAGTTGTAGGAAAAATTAGGATAGTTTTGTGAAGGATCCATGAAGAAGAAGTATGAAAAAACTAGTTTGAAAAACAAGAAAGAAAGAAAAAGAGTGTAGAAACTCAGATTTTTTTTGGTGTCCAAATGACACAAACTTAGTCTCTATTTATAGAGTTTGGAAAATGATAATTAATGGTATAAAAATTATAATTTAATTCATAGTATTTATCTGCAAAAATAATAATTAAAATAAGGAAGAAATCAAAAAATGCCGACCAATCAGGCCTTGATACGTGGTGCATGCTGCCACGTGTCTAGGCCTGATTGGTCAGGCATTTTTCTATTTTTTTTTTTAAAATGTGACAGCCCACCGCGGGCTCCACGCTGCAGAAAAACCAGGGGGGGAATTTTCCCCACCTGCTCCGGTATTTCAATTTCCCCACCCCCATACCCCTCCTGCTGTAGCCAAAAGACTCCTATTTCCCTACCTGTTGCAGCAAGTCTTATAGTTATAGCTGTGGATGTATTTTTTTTTTTTACTAAAGAGTTTCACGTATCTTAGCCGCGCCGCTGCAGGTGGCCCGGACATCGACCGACAATGACTTCTTAGTTATTACAGTCCCAATCAGAACTGATCTGTTATCAAAACGGTGCGCTGCGCGCGTACAAATCAGAAAACAAGATAAGCCTCAGCCCCAAGATCTGCATCCGTGATTGCCCGACCCACCACCCGCTACGGTTACAAATCACGAAACCATAAGGACTAGACAAAACCAAATATGCAAAGAAATCCAGTGAAGAGAACAAAAGGAAATAAATAAAAAGAAGCCCACAGATCCAAAACAGAAGGGGCCCACCTCTTTATCAGCCCACATGGTCTCAGTCACCGCCCCGGACAACTTTTGATCCAGTTTGAGGTCCCATCATAACAATCTTTTTCATATTGCCTTAATTACTCATCAGCGAATCACAAAATTAAACTAACAACAATTAAAGAGAACTATAGAACGTGAGAAGTCTAGCTGGCTGCACCTGAGGCGCATTCATCAAGATTAACGTGAACCATCATCACATTCAAGAAGTAGAGAAATTCCTTTGAACTACATGAATCAAAAAGAACAAAATTAAAAAACTGAGCTCAACAAAATGAAAAAAAGAACAAATCCGTGCATCATCAACAATAACATCATACAAGTCCCTGAATCAAAATGACATCCAAACTAACAACAACCCAAACAAACACCGATATCTTATCAAATTTTGAACAACCGAACCGAACTGCCCACTATTCAAAACCGAACCGAACCGAACCGAACCGTTGCACATCGGTTCGGTGCGGTTCGGTTTGTTCGGTTGTAACTTCATCAGACTTTCAATAGTCTAGCAGGAAACTATATGCAAAACTTGAATATGTTCCAAACAATAGATTAACCAGTGGCAATTCATATTCATGATAAATTGAAAAGGACTTGAAATTGAAAAGAGAAGTCAATGAGGGACTTACTTGTAAACTAGCCCCACCGAACAACTATGACGGCAGCAAGATACTATCCACAGTCAAAATACAGACCGGAGTATCATCAAGAACCGTCTCCGCAATGCGAGAACTCCCCATTCCAGTCTCCAAGCTCACATCATCGCCATGAGAACCCACGGTCAGATCAAACTTACCAGCTCCGCTCGTGGCCATGGTGGCGATGGGATGATGGGTTCCCTTCAACGACGCCTTCGGAGAATAACTGGGCAGCGCGTGGTACTGCAGCAGCGTCACAAGCTCAGCGCTGCTGAGCTTGTTCAGATCCGGAACCCCCTTCGCCTTGAAAGCCTCGTCGTTAGGCGCAAACAGCGTCAGCCCCTTGTCCTCAGCGGCCTCGAACATCTTCAGAACTCCGAGCTCTGGACGAGTCAGCATAAAAGTCTTGCACCCGGCTTTTTTTCAAGAAGAGCGGTGATGTTGGCGGTGGCAGCGGAGGGGGCGTCGAGAAGGCGGGGAAAGTAATGGGATCGGAGATCTGAGGACGGCGATCGTTGTAGGGGAATTTGCTTGACGAGACTTGGTGTACGTCGGCGACGAGCTTGGCGGGCGAGGGGCCGAAGGCGACGCTGCCGGCGGGACCGTTGTGATGTGACGAAGCCGGAGTTTCCGGGCGTTGCGGTGGTCTGGTAGAAGGTGGTGGTTGAGGGTGGTGCGCCGGGAGGAGTGGAAGCTTGGTGGGTCGTAGTAAGCCTCGAGGAGGACGAGGGAGGCGGAGGGCGGTTTTCTTGTGCCGCGCAGGACTGTGCTTGGCGCGAGGGAGGACATGGCGCGCGTTGGCGAGGACCAGGCCCAGGTCACGGTCTGGGCGGGAGTTGACCTCGTTCGCAACCTTGGTCTGGGTCAGGTAGCTGTTGTACAGGCTGTAGTTCGGGGAATCCCTCGAGGATCGGGCGGTACTGGTTGTCGGGCGGTGGTCGGCTGTCAGCGCGCCTAGGCAGGAGGGCGGCGACTAGGGAGGAAGAGGGAGGGAGGGCCGCCCATTGTCGAGAGGTTTCTGCGTTCTCCGATTGAACTGATGTGAGGCAGAGAAGAGAGAGAGAGGGAGAGGGAGCCAGGGAGGGGGAGAAAAGGAGGGAGGGAGGGGCTAACTGGGTTGAGTCAGACGTAACCGGGGTTTGAGTTGGAGGCCACGTGACGGTGGCGAAAGGAGGGGGGGAGGTTAATGGATTCCGTTGTTGGATTTGGGGAGAGAGAAGCGTGGTCCGTTACAGCTGGAAAGCTGTATCTACCTATTTATTTATTTAGTTAGAGAACTGGAAAAAAAAAATGAAGGATCTGGATGTGGTCACCACCCTGTCGGTGGTACTCTTCGCTTGCTCTACGGGTTAGGTTAGTTAGATTAAAATAAGGAGAAAGAAATACTTAGGGCTGTTGCATATGAATTACCCCTCGAATAGTCAAATCGTTACTACTTGCAAAATTACCTCCTAAATCTCATTACTTGCAAATATTTCCCCAAGATTGAATAAAAATACCCTAATCTAAGAGAGTCGGGGATCAAATAGTTTGAGGGGGGTGTTTTTACGTATACAGCCTTTGGGTTTTTCTAGCTCCCGACGTATACTACTCAAGTTAAACAAAACTCATATATAAAAAAACACAAGTAAAGAAGTTTCCCTGCAAATAATCAACCAATCAGATCAACACCGTGGGCTTTGTTACGCCCATCAGCTCGTGTAGGATGAGTGAGAAGTAAGGACGAATGATTTGGTGCCTTTCTCGCACGGTGTAATCCAATACTCATCAATCCGTTTAAAATTCAACAAACGAAGTTACTGAAAAGGATAAAAATAGAAAAAGGTGAAAATTTTATAGAGAGGGTGTTACCTTTGACATGTCTTCGTGAGGGGAGATATGTGATAAGAGCGGAAGCAGGGAATTGATATTCACACGTTAAGCCCTAAAAGATAATGTTAATATCATCTATTACGGAGATGAGTTTGTGTTCTTAATGAAAGTCTAATACATTAATGTTGTGTGTTTAAAGTAATGGAGAATACATGTAGACGTTTCACATATCTGAACTTAGAAGTGGTGCCGCTTCTTAAAAGAGCTAAATGTTTGCTCTTTAGAAAGTCCATGAACCGGGAAAAAGCACAATGCCATAACAGTGCTAAAAAATTAATTCTTATTGAAACAAGAGATTTATATATGTACGACATTCTCCGGTTCTATCAAAAAGAGTAATTAAGTTTAATGCTAAGGCAACTAAGGACTTTGATAGAACTTTGAAGTATTTGTACTAAGTAAATGTTTAAATCGAAAGAGACTTCTACATATGTATATTTATCTCATTTTGTACAATTATTTTTAAGATAAATAATATTTTTAAAATTTTGTTTTCTTCAAACAAAGTGGGGGATTGTTAGTATTTGTTTGTAAAAATAAGAGAGTCTCACAGGGGATACTTGAGCACTCTTTTAGAGATTTAAAAACATTTAATGATTATTGGGTTTTGATAAATGGATAAAAGCATAAACTTTTAAAAACCTGTATTTTTTACTGTTGAAAATGGTTGTTTTTTTACTGTTGGAAAGTGTCTGTTTTTTCAATGGGTGTTTTGAAAAGTTATGACTGTTAGAAACACTTTTTTAAACCTATAAATAGTCTATGATTTTAGACATTTAAACTTACTTTTTTTCTCAAAACTTTTCTCTCAAAAAATTTGCAATCTTACAAACTTGTTTCACTGAGAATTCATGAAAAAATCCAGATTTGCTTACTGAAATTTTTAATTTTCTGTGTTATCCTTGGGAGAAAATTTACATTAACCTAAAACGACTTCGAATTTAAAGTGGGGCAAATATTTCTTTAAGAAAAATGTTTGACATCTCAGAATATCTCTCTCCATTATTTTTTCTAACAATGAATATGAGAGTCGGCGAGCGCCTAGTCGGGTAGGTGAACATGGACTGGGATAACTATAGACAAATGACGATGATATTTTGGTTATTACTTAATTATTGAAAAGAATACAAACTGAGTAAACTTTAAAAGGAGAGAAGACATTTCATGTTACGGGAAGGGATTAATAAAGAAAACTGGGAATTGATGTGCGCATGGTTAATTAGTAAATGAGGAAAATTTGGTTATTACTTAATTATTAAAATTAAATTAACAGAAAAAATGAAATATTGTAAGAATATTCCAACAAAGTTAATTGATGGGCAGAAATTTTCAATATTGAAGAATTCGGCGGTAACTTTACAAATATTGAGATTTAGGAGGTAATTTGGCAAATATTGAAGATTTAAGGTGTATAAAAAAGGCTCTTGCTTTGGTGCTCCAAAAATAGAATTTATTTATTTTTTAATTAATTTTATTTAAAGGGTAATAATGTAATATGATCTGCCAACTTCTTCCTCACTCTTTCAGAACTAATGATTTGAGCTCTCTGTCCATAAAACCTTAACCACTCTATGCTATAAAAATCCGAGATTGCACTCACGGCTTGCCAGAATGTTGAGCGGCCGACAGAGGGATTAAAATGAAGATGACACGTGAAGAAATAAGCTTTTGTATATTACTCACTACTACTTCAGACCCAAATCTTATGAAGTCTGCAAGTCAACCTTATAATTAATCTCTTTTCATAAATTCTTATACATATCCATCAACAAATCAAGAAATCTAGAAATAAATATCCATCATCTGCAAGCTAATTGGATCTACTATTCTCATTACTAAAGGAGGGGTCAAAACTTCACATTTCCTTGACTGTTCAAACTTCACTCTAAGATAGGACGATTGGAATGGCACCAGCAGAACTTCTCCAAACGAGACCCCGATTGGGCTGACAACTTGCAAGGCCGACTAGAGAGGCGATACTTGTCGACTTGCTCGCAAATTCGAGACACATCCCCACTCGACTCATCCAAGTTGACAACTTGCAAAGCCGATTAGAAAGGCGGTACTTGTCGACCTCTGGTGAAACGAGTTGGAAGGTAGCATCCTCGAGCCCCCAGTCAAAAGTTGATTGACATCACGTTATAGAATCATCATTACTCCTACCTCAAAAGTCTCTATGACACATTAGATGTCGTCACCAACGCACCGCTCAGTCACCATCGCATTAAACATCTAGGTGACTCATCCCCTCAGCAGCTAACATCTGTAAAGTAGATGCCAACAAGGCAGCATGCTTCGACTCGGCCTCATTTCCCCATTTACCCCTTGGGACCTGTTATAAAAGGGAAGTTATGTCTGCTGCTTAGAGTAAGCAAATCTGCGCTAAAAGAAATCTCAACTTCATTCATCTTCTCTACTCAAGCATTATACTAACTTGATCGTCATAGGAACCGTCAGAGACCCCGATTCCGACCTCATAGTAATCATCATGTGCAGGATGGATCTATCAGCTCAAGAATAAGTTGTCTGAAGAAGCTTGAGAACCCAACACCTCTCATAATCCACAGATAGACTAACTGTTAGCTAACTGACATCAACAATTGAAATTTTGGGCAAGTAAAATCAAGGAGACCCGTGTCATCCTTTGCTACAACCCACTGACAACTAAAAGATCTTAAGCTCATAAGAAGGAGAATCATATGGATCGAGAATTAATATGGCGATGAAGAAGAAATGGTTTCTTTGGGGATCATAACAATTAAGCTTGGGAAAATTGTGTCAAGACCCTAATTATAATAACCTCATTAAACCTGACACTTTCATCTTTTCCCATGTGGATCAAACCCAAAAAATTGCATTTAATATGTTCGGACCCCTCCACGTCAGCCATATAGAATAAAAGATACTGCATTTTATAATAAACTCTATATTGCCCTTCTCCTTCTTCCCTAGATGCAACGCCCCCATCAAGACTTTTCATGAGCGAAAGTCAGATCCCATTAATGGCGATCTGATGGAGGAATTGGAGGGAAATTTCTCTCCATTTTCCCTATCTTGAGCAATAATTCTCTATTTAATTGTTTAGGATTTTTGCTCTTCAATACTCCTCTTGTCCTATAATTCTCTCAATTACTCCTTCTAACTTCCCTTCATAATAGCTGAGAAAGCTATCATCTACATGGTCTCCTCAGGTGATAAAGCACTTTTTTTAAGGATTAACTCTTCAACCACCATGATGAAACTCAAATTTGATGTGTCAGATAGGTTAAGACTTCCATACGATTCTTTATTGTTAGCATTCAAAAATGAAATAAACAACAACTTCAATTTTCCTATTGAGAACGAAGATGATTTGTCGCCTATGGTGGAGCATAGCCACAATATTGGGTTAAAAAAGATTCACATGAAAGCTTTTGTAGAAACATAGGATTCTTTAATTATCCATAACAACGAGCAAGTTCGACAAGACTTGTAAGTTATTAGTTTTTTTGATGTTAAGTTCAATATTTATGACGTCAAGTCTAATGAGTTGGAACTTAAGTCTAAGGGCTTTTATATTAAGTCATTTGGGTTGAATAATAAGCCTAAAAATAGAATGTTAAGTGAAATTGATTATATGTTACGTCTAACTTCTAGTATGTTAACTGCAAGTGAGAACATGTTAAGTTCAAGGTATTGTAT